AACAAACCTTATCGGATGGTTGGAATTGCCATATGGCAGATAAAAAGGAATATTTCTAGAAATATCGATACTGATGTGTTTGTTTTCAGGAAATTATTAAAAGTTCCGCCATTTTGTAGTAGTTGAAGATATTGACATTATATTCTAGGATTGTGAAGCATTTGTCAGGAGCTTCAAAACTATGTGTCACAAAACCCTCCCTTTCCATTTTTTTCCAGATGGCGCCCAGTCGCCATCTTGATAGTTTCATCTCTCAATTTCACTTCAAAATAAAGTATCTATGCATTAATTTCGTTATCCCAAATTTCAATTTTGAGTTGACCTGTTCAAAAAATGAAAGGGGAAGGGATCATTAAAGAAATGCACTGTATAATGGCTTGGTTCATGCTAAGCATTTGAATTACACCAATAACGTTCCTCTCAACTGATACTCACCTAATTTTGTATGCAAACATTCAAGTATGTTTAGTCTATCAGTCTATTGTTCGCGCTCATATTGCAGTCGATAGTTAGATATCACTGTTTTCAATCATTACGATTTGATAAATAAGCAAATGTGTAATACAATGGCAAAATAATTCAATTCGGATCGATTACTTCGACAGTATTTGCAGTAAAATAAAGAGAAACTTATTGTCAGTTCTCTGTGGTTGTGTTTTTTCAGTATTTGTGGGGAGCTTTGGTAGAAAAAATTCGCCGAAAGTTCTATATTCATTGAGCTTTGTTGTTTTCCGGGAAGAAGCAAAGGAAACTAGTAACACGTTCTTTGAATCGTGAAAAAATGTAAGACAGTAGCGACAAGTCAATAAATTGTTTATGTATAGCATGTGTATTTTACTTAACGTCAACATTTCCAACTCGGAAGTATCATTAGTACATTAAAAAATCAGAGTTCGAGTTAGGGCCTATTTGAAAATCTTTGGCTATTTCTCAGGCCGTTTAATGTGATTTTTCACAATGAGCTTTTTTATTATCCTCATGGAATCCGGTCAAAAGTTTTCTAATGTTGATATATCCCTCAAATCATTATATACGTAGACTGTTGAAAAAAAAAAAGAATCAATTTCAAATTTCGCGGGCTTAGTACATTAGATCAGCGATTTTTTTATGTTAGTACACTCGTCTCGAACATTTGTTTGAAGGTGATTGACAATGTTTCGTGATGAATTTCACTAGTTCGGACTTCCATTGTCTATTATATAAAATGATTTGAAATCCCTGAAACAAGTAAAAAAAGAATAATTAAAAAAGAATAGTTGAAAATAACAATTATATTAAGCAACAATAAACCTGAAATGAAATGATAGTAANATCTTTTCAAATCTTTTTTCAAATTTCGAAAATGTTGAAAATTTTCCGAGATATTACGAAAAAACTAAAGCCCCATTTTTTCTTCACTTAATTGTTTATAACTTTTGTAATTTTCATCGGCGCGTTTTCGGACCTTTCCTTAAACTTTCTAGGCAAAAATACGAATCGAATGACACCTTGGTCGTAATTTTTGGACAGGGCTGAAAAATGTCACCAAAAAGAGCTAAATCGAGAACATGTGAACCAGACTATAAACTAAGGTGGACATTAGAGTTTTGCGGGGATTAATTGAGAATTGAGAAAAATTTGGACCACAAGACTCCAATAAGGTAGTTCGTATGTAGTAAGATATATTAATTTAATTGCTTCCATTTTTCCAGGTCCTCATCTTCCTCGAGCAGCATCGAACCTCTGCAACCGATCAACAGATTGCGAGTATCGCCTCATGCGTCCCATTCTCGCATGTGTTCCAGATGTTCGAGCCTTTTGACGTTGGCCTCGAGTTCTCGCTACTCTTTGAATACAATTGGGGCTGGTTTCGTCCCTGTTCCGCCCGAAGATCCCCCTTTGCTCTGCAAACTCTGTCTTGCTGAGGTGCCTTTAAAGGACATTGTGCGCATCCAGCAGTGTGACTGTGCCTTTTGTGTAGAGGTAAGTTGAAAAAATGATGTTTGTTACTCTTGAAACCACGACAGTGTCTCCACACTTGTCAGGAATCAACATTTTTCGTACTTGATAAACAATATTCAGATCACCCCTTTCAGCAATAAGGTAGACAACACCGCTTATTTTCATTATTTTTTGGCACATCAAGTTCCATCCATTTTAAGGACGAAACACAAGCACTACAGGAAAATCCTGTGCCTCTGCGAAAGTAGCGATTCATGGAGATTCAATTCATCCACATAAACTCAGTTCTTCCAATGGAAGAGTTCTTTTTTTTTATTTCAAAAATAACCGCATGAACCGCGAAGGGTTATTAGCGGAGGAACAATTAGGTATAATTATGCAGTGTGTAACAACGAAAACTTAACAGAGCTGTTTTTGAATATAAAAAGTGAGATTTTTAAAAAAAGCTCGGGCACGTCGATTTCTAATTAAAGGGGGACACCTTTCAGACTAATCAGATTTTTTGTAGTACGCACCTCCTCGGAGGGGTGCGTCCGACGACCCTAATTTAGATAGGGAAAGTAGGTCGAGTGTCACCTTGTTTTAAAGGTCTTTACAACTCTGTTAAAAGAAAATTCTTGTAACGATTAGTTTTCGAGATAATTTAAGTTAAAATTGCCATGTTAATAATACATTAGACCAGGGGTTCCCAAACTTTTTTGTACCACGCCCCCTCTGGTTATTTGGAGACCCCCCCACGCCCCCCTACACATATCAATAATTGTACGTATGGTGAAAATTTAAACAAGTATTACATGAAAAACGAATATAATAACTGATACAAAATTTAACATTGTAACACAGATACATTTTCAATTTAAGGAAGGTGAAACAATAGGCCTACCTACTTACAAAAACANTTTGATGTGAGAAAATTATACACTTATCACTGCATATTATGGATGCATAATAACCCCACCCTCAATATAAATCATAATTATGAAACTCGAACCAAACTGCATCAAAAAACAAATGTCCCTCGCTGTAGACGTAGTTCCTTCAGACATTAGAGCATTCTCCAATAAATACAAATTCAAGTCAAAACTGAACGAATATGTGAATCAAAACTATGACATTAAAATCTGTCTATGAACTGGATTCCTAATCGAAGTTTTCTCTAGGATATAAACTACATCCTATTGTAGGTAATATCTTGAATTAGTTGAACAATACAACGTCACCTTCTCTTTGACTATTACTCTCTCTTTCCACCAGTTTTCCTTTGCTTTATTATGCAACAATTATATTATATTTAAGTGTTTTTGTATGTATATGCGCATGTATACATATATGCATATGTATATATGTATGTATATGTGTATATATATAATCAACGTTTAAGTTGTTTATAGGTTGATACTACAACTCAAGCTCTACTTAGGTAGCTCAGCCTTCAAAATTGTTTTTTTATCATTCAATGTTATATCATTATTAAAAAATGTAATTACCTGAATAAATTTATCTATCTATCTATCTTACTTCCAACAAGTGAAGTGAATGAGAAATGTTTTCTATTCCGATGGGGCCATGTTTTATTTTACCTAGCAATAGAAATTCTGCTCAATTTCAATGAGACCTACCCATAATGTATTCTATTTTATGATTCTTCACTGTAGTTTAACAGTCAAACCTGAACAATTCAAACAACTTTCTGTTTTGATTGCTTTTGATTGTGTTTTTGTTTCATAATGAAGGTATCGATACATCTTTTGAAACAGGTTCGACTTAGCTGAATCACATTTACGAATGTTGATTGTGGTGAAACTTGTCTTTGAATACGTCAAGGTAATTATTAGGATTGTTATGGTTTTCATTACCAGTTCTGAGCGGTTCGCAATTCAAGTTAGGACACTTCACAAATGGATTACCAAAATTTCTATTTTGTACCCTTCAGAGTTGGTTGTTAAATTATAAGTTATCCTTCGTGTTATAAATTGATTTTCTTTATCAAATTCTTATTCAATATTTTTCATACATAATAATTTACTCTGTCTCGTAGAATGTCAGTAAGAATTATGCTACTTTACTTTTTCTTTTATATTTCAGTGTATGAAGGCTTATGTAGAATTTGAAATTAGTGAAGGGGCGTATGATATTTCATGTCCTGATGCACAATGTCCCTCTCAGGGAGTTTTACTACAAGAAGAGATTAAAAGACTGGCTGGAAGTGATTTATTAGAGAAACATAAAAAGTACAGATTAAATAGAGGTAAGCATAATCCCAACTATACAAATATATTATTTTTTTAACAGGATTTTATTAGCTTCACCTGTGTATATGTATGTATGTTTGTAACTCTCAAGCTCGGGATCTGGATTTGACAGAATTATCGACATTGCTTGATCTATTCGCGGGCAGATGGCGCTGTACGTAATCTCCTTGATAATAATTATATAATAATAATAATTTTATTAGTCTCAAGAAACACACAGTTTTTAGACACGTCAATACAATTTCTAAAATAATTTTGA